TGGAGTGTTAAAGTCTCCCACTATTATTGTGTGAGAGTCTAAGTCCTTTTGTAAGTCCTTAAGAACTTGCCTTATGTATCTGGGTGCTCCTGCATTGGGTCCATATATGTTTAGGATCGTTAGCTTTTCTTGTTGTATCGATCCTTTTACCATTATGTAATGGCCTTCTTTGTCTCTTTTGATCTTTGTTGCTTTAAAGTCTATTTTATCGGAGATGAGAATTGCAACTCCTGCTTTTTTTTGCTTTCCATTTGCTTGGTAAATCTTCCTCCATCCCTTTATTTTGAGCCTTTGTGTATCCTTGCATGTGAGATGGGTTTCCTGTATACAGCACACTGATGGGTTTTGGCTTTTTATCCAATTTGCCAGTCTGTGTCTTTTGATTGGTGCATTTAGTCCATTTACATTTAGGGTTAATATTGTTATGTGTGAATTTCATACTGCCATTTTGATGCTAAGTGGCTGTTTTGCCTGTTAGTTGTTGTAGATTCTTCATTATGTTGATGCTCTTTAGCATTCAGTGTGATTTTGGAATGGCTGGTACTGGTTGATCCTTTCTATGTGTAGTGCCTCTTTTAGGAGCTCTTGTAAAGCAGGCCTGGTGGTGACAAAATCTCTGAGTACTTGCTTGTTCGCAAAGGATTTTATTCTTCCTTCACTTCTGAAGCTCAGTTTGGCTGGATATGAAATTCTGGGTTGAAAGTTCTTTTCTTTAAGAATGTTGAATATTGGCCCCCACTCTCTTCTGGCTTGTAGTGTTTCTGCCGAGAGATCTGCTGTGAGTCTGATGGGCTTCCCTTTGTGGGTGACCCGACCTTTCTCTCTGGCTGCCCTTAGTATTCTCTCCTTTATTTCAACCCTATTGAATCTGACGATTATGTGCCTTGGGGTTGCTCTTCTTGCGGAATATCTTTGTGGTGTTCTCTGAATTTCCTGCAATTGAGTGTTGGCCTGTCTTGCTAGGTGGGGGAAATTTTCCTGGATGATGTCCTGAAGAGTATTTTCCAGCTTGGATTCATTCTCTTCGTCCCCTTCTGGTACACCTATCAAACGTAGGTTAGGTCTTTTCACATAGTCCCAGATTTCTTGGAGACTTTGTTCATTCCTTTTTGCGTTTTTTTCTCTAATCTTGGTTTCTCGTTTTATTTCATTGAGTTGGTCTTCGACTTCAGATATTCTTTCTTCTGCTTGGTCAATTCGGCTATTGAAACTTGTGCATGCTTCGCGAAGTTCTCGTATTGTGTTTCTCAGCTCCTTTAATTCATTCATATTCCTCTCTAAGTTATCCATTCTTGTTATCATTTCCTCAAATCTTTTTTCAAATCTTTTCTCAAGGTTCTTAGTTTCTTTGCATTGATTTAATACATGATCTTTTAGCTCACCAAAGTTTCTCATTATCCATCTTCTGAAGTCTAATTCCGTCATTTCGTCACAGTCATTCTCCGTCCAGCTTTGTTCCCTTGCTGGTGAGGAGTTTTGGTCCTTTCTAGGAGGCGAGGTGTTCTGGTTTCGGGGGGTGTTTTCCTCCTTTTTGCGCTGGTTTCTTCCCATCTTTGCAGATTTGTCCGCTGGTCGTCTGCGTAGTTGCTGACTTTTCGATTGTGTCTCTGAGTGGACACCCAGAATGTTGATGATGAAGTATTTCTGTTGCTTGGTTTTCCTTCTACCAGTCTAGCCCCTTCGCTGTACGAGTGCTGAGGTCCGCTCCAGACCCTGCTTGTCTGGGGTGCACCTCTAGCAGCTGTGGCACAGCGAGGGGTGCTACCAGTTTCTTTTTCTGCTATCTTTGTCCCAGGATGGTGCCTGCCTAATGTCAGTCTTTTGGATATAGAGGGGTCAGGGAGCTGCTTGAGGAGACAGTTTGTACTTTATAGGGGTTTAATTGCTGAGCTGTGAGCTGTGTTGTTCATTCAGGGCTGTTAGGCTGCTATGTTTGATTCTGCTGCAACAGAGCTCATTAAAAAACCCCTTTTTTTCCTCAAATGCTGTGTTGAGGGGTTTGGGCTTTATTTTTGGATGTCCGTTGAGGTCCTGCCCAGCTAGGATGCATACTAGCCACTGTTTGCCTGCCGAGGCTCCGCCCTGCTGTTGTGAGGCTCGCCCTGGCTCCGCTGTTCTGCTGTTCTCTGCCACGCCCTGCGGCGGAGTCTCTCTGTTGTAGTGGGTTGCCTCGGCGAAGGCAGGCTGCGTCAGCAGTGGGCGTGTATCTCAGTAGGGACGGGTTGCCTCGGCAACGGCTGGCTGCGTCAGCATTGGGCGTGTATCTCAGTAGGGACGGGTTGCCTCGGCAACGGCTGGCTGAGTCAGCAATGGGCATGTATCTCAGTTGGGGCGGGTTACCTCGGTAATGGTGGCCGCCCCTCCCCCTCAGAGCGTCTCGGGCAGTCTGCACGGGGCTTGTTTGAAATCGCGGTTTTGTTCGTCCCACTGGGCCAATCCTAACGCTCTGTTCCTGCAATCCCCTGGGCTGGCCCACTGTTCAAGTCTAGCTCAGTCTCAAGTCCAGCCCTCTCACGTCTCCAGTTGCCGGTTCAACGGGGCACCCGGACAAGTGCGCCCTGTGGGGAGCGCTGGGTAGGGCCGGCCGCCGCCACCCCGGCTGCCGGCTTCGCCAGGCGTATTATCTGCCTGGCGTCCCGCGTCTCCTCTTCACTTGGGACTTTCCCCGTTCCGTGAGCAACAAAGATCAGTCTGGAAATGCAGCTCAGACTCACCTCTCCGCAGACACAACGAGAACTCCAATCCTGGGTTGTTCTCACAGCGCCATCTTGAGTCCTCCCCCATAACATTTTTAAAATAGACAATGTTTTAATTAATTTAATCCATTTAGATTTTTTTTTTTTTTTTTTTTGAGACTGCATCTCGTTCTTTCACCCAGGTCACTCAGGCTGGGGTGCAATAGCGCAATCTCAGCTCACGGCAACCTCCACCTCCTGGGTTCAAGTGATTCTCCTGCCTCAGCCTCTTGAGTATCTGGGATTACAGGCATGTGAGACCACGCCCAGCTAATTTTTCTGTTTTCAGTAGAGATGAGGTTTCGCCATATTGGCCAGACTGGTGTTGAACTCCTGACCTCAAATGATCTACCCGTCTCAGACTCCCAAAGTGCTGGGATTAAAGACATGAGCCACTGCACCTGGCCTAATTCATTTAGAGTTCTTACGAAAAAGAGTTTTGTCGCTTCTCAGCTATTTGTTAATTTATTTAATTTTTAATTTATATCAGTATGAACCCATAAATACTTATTTCCTACTTGGGTCACAATTCAATTTATATATTTTCTTGCTCAACTTGGAGATTTGGTCTTTGGAAGTTGTTTTCCAAAGTAGCCCCATCTTTGACTGTGTGTATTTACCGAGTTTTTATTTTTCACTACTGCAAATGCTTTGGGCTCTGTCTGTGTATTACTTGCCCAAGGCTAGCGAGTGTTTTGCTTATCAGTGCTGCCACTTATTTATTTTTTCTTTAGAAGTATCAGATTCAAGTTTTATTAATTATCTTTATTTCAGTAGTCATATTCCCTTTTGCTTATTTATCCATTATTATTTTTACATTTTATTTTGTTTTGCATACTTTTGTTTTATTTTGTTTTTACTCATTGTTGGAGTTCAACCTGATGATCAATAAAATTTTAGAAATGTGAATATAAATTTTCAAATAAATATGGTTGGATTCAGCTTTTGTATTGTTCACTTTCAATTTCATTTCATTTTGGTCAAGATCGTGCTCTGTATATGCATTCTATGGAATTTTAATTTGACATTTACTTTGTAATCCTGTATTGGTAAATTTATCGATTAAAAATGTTTCTTGTGTACTGAAAAGCATTTTCCATTTGCTTTTTAATTGTTACAATTTCACTCCTCAAAGTTCTTAAGCTTGTACATATTATAATAACATTACTAATTTTGTATTCTGCTCTAGTGGTTTCTGGAAGAACACTGATAAGGAAAACATTAAAAACTCCCATCAAAATTGTATATTTTACCGTCTGACCTTACAATAACACTCAGTGTTGGCTTTCCATGTGTCAGTGCTATGTGGTTAGGGTCATAGAGTTCATCACTGTACTATTCCAGTGAATTGTTCTACTCCATAACTGTAAAATGTGCCTTTTTAATTCTGAAACTGAATTGGATATTAATATTGCTGCTTTAGCTTCTTTGGTTTAATGTTTGTTGGAGTTGCCTTTTTCCATTCCTTGGTTTTTAACCACTTAGCTTCATTGTGAGATTGTTTTAATATGTAAAATAAAAGGGTGGGAAACCTAATCTCGACCCAGCCCAGTGATGACATTAGCTGGGCACTGATTGGGTTAGGATATTGCCCAGGTATAAAGCCAGGGTCTTTGGAATGTGGGGCTTTATTTAGAGTTTAGCTACTAGCAGGAAAGCTTCTCTCTGGGTCCTGGAGTATTTTCATATGGAATTGTGAGTTTTTGGAGGAAGGTAGGTACTTTTATTTCTCTGTCAGAGCACTTTTGGATATTTGTCCTACTGAGAATATTAATATCACCAAGTTGTTCATAAGATTTTGTTAAAAATTTTAAATCATCTCCACCAGATGTTTAGCTATTCTGCTTGTTTCTTACCACAATGTGTTTTGTTTGTACTTTATTTTCTTTTCAAGCCTATGGCTTTTTACTTCTCATCACATTTTTTGAAAACTCAGTTTTCAATTTTTGTCATCAGTCCTATTGGATGTTCTGTTTACTTTTGCAATGGTTTCTGCTTTTGAATTTATTTTCATAGTTTCTTTTGATGTTAATGCATCTAATTTCTTGAGTGAAATGCTCACTTTATTTATTTTTAAAGTTGACCATTTTTCATCTTAGTTTGATTAGCTGCTGCTCTCTTTCCGTTTAATGATTTGACCTTATATCTTGATGTTAACATAGCATATGCTTTAATTCAGCTTAATGTAGGCTGAGTATTTCTTTTGTCTGGTCACACGCATACTTAAAAATATGAATATTCTGTATTTTTGTTGTTGTTTTTTAGGTGTATTGTTTTGACTTCCTAGAGGAGAGGCCCACGTACAGTGGAGTTAGCCACTACTGCACCCAAGCCTGAGAATCAGGAGAAGTCTCACAGAGACACCCTCAGCTGAGGAAACTCACAGGGCTACAGGTGAAGCTGGGACTTACTCTACTTCTTTGGGCAAAAATATACTGACTAGAGTGGAGTCCCCCTGGTGAGTTAGAAAGCCAGTGAAAGGTCTCACTTGTTCAAATTTCAATTCTGATTTACTGCCTCACAGATAAACCAAATCATTTTGAAAAACAAAGGGGAGAAAAGAAAGCATTCCCCAGCACTCTCAGGTATCTAGAAGACGCCTAAGAAGTTGGGAGTCAGCTGTTTCTTGTGTGCAGCCATGAAGTCTGTGCACTCTGTTCCCCAGAACACAGTTTGTAGCATCATGACTTTTTACCCAACCATGGAAGAATTTACAGATTTCAACAAATATGTTGCTCACATGGAGTCCCAAGGCGCACACCAAGCTGGCCTCGCCAAGGTAATTCCACCCAAGGAATGGAAAGCCAGAAAGACTTACGATGGTATTGAAGACATCTTGGTCGCCACTCCCCTCCAGCAGGTGACCTCTGGGCAGGGAGGTGTGTTTACTCAATACCATAAAAAGAAGAAAGCCATGACAGTCGGGAATTATCGCCATTTGGCAAACAGTAAGAAATATCAGACTCCACCACACCGGAATTTCGACGATCTGGAGCAACAATACTGGAAGAGCCACCCCGGTGATTCACCAATTTATGGTGCTGATATTAGTGGCTCCTTATTTGAAGAAAACACTACACAGTGGAACCTAGGACACCTGGGAACAATTCTGGACCTGTTGGAGCAGGAATGTGGGGTGGTCATCGAGGGCGTCAACACCCCCTACCTGTACTTTGGCATGTGGAAGACCACATTTGCTTGGCACACGGAGGACATGGACCTTTACAGCATCAACTACCTGCACTTTGGGGAGCCCAAAACGTGGTACGCAGTGCCCCCAGAACATAGCCAGCGCCTGGAATGCCTGGCCAGCGAGCTTTTCCCAACAATTTCCCAGGGCTGTGAGGCCTTCCTGCGGCACAAGGTGGCCCTCATCTCTCCTACAGTTCTCAAAGAGAACGAGATTCCCTTCAGTTGCATGACTCAGGAGGCTGGGGAGTTCATTGTGACCTTTCCCTATGGCTATCATGCGGGCTTCAACCATGGCTTCAACTGTGCAGAGGCCATCAATTTTGCCACTCCACGATGGATTGATTATGGCAAAGTGGCTTCACAGTGTAGCTGTGGGGAGGCGAGGGTGACCTTTTCCATGGACGCCTTCGTGCGTATCCTGCAACCAGAGAGCTACGAGCTCTGGAAACACAGGCAAGACTTGGCCATTGCAGATAACACAGAGCACAGCGTTGCAGAAAGCCAAGAGCTGAGCAGCTGGAGAGATGACATAGTACTTAGGAGAGCTGCTCTGGGCCTGAGGTTACTCCCAAACCTCACGGCCAGGTGTCCCACACAGCCTGTGTCCCCAGGGCACCATTACAACCCAAAAGGCCATGGCACTGATGCTGTGCCTGGATCCACATTCCAAAGCTCTGCATATTATACCCAGACCCAGTCACTTACCCTGGGGACATCAGCCCAGGTTCTTCTCCCTTACACTGGAAGACAGGGTTCTTGTGGTTGTGGTCGTCATCCTCGAGAAATGGAGGCTGAGGAGACAACTGTCCAGTCTGCAGCCAAGAGGTGCCTTTCAGTGGGTGCAGGGAGCAAAGCTCGAAGCCGCAAGCCTCGGCTCCAGCTTGCTGATGAAGATTTGATGTCAGACGTGCCTCTTTGAGTGGGGGCCTTCAGCATCTTGTCAAGGCTTCTGGCTGTTGCTCTGTCCCTGATCTTCAACTCCTGGGGCCCCCACTAGATCCTAATGGACCCATGCACCCTGGCCCGTGCCTGCTATCCCTCAATAGCACTTCTAGTAATTTCCCCGATGTTGTCTGCATGACTCCTCCCAATGTCATTGTGCCTTTGATTAAGTTGTCCAGGGACACTAGTGGGGACTGGAAATCTCTGGTGAACATGGCCACGGTTGCAGCAATGGACCACACTTATGCCTCTAGGGTTCTGGCCCCAACTAAGTTTTCCAGAATTTCTTGGGCCCCTGACTCATCTGCTGGGGCTAAAGCCAGAGAGAGATACATCGCTGAATTTGGGGATATTTTTCTCCAATACATGATCAATCTTCTGGACCCATGCCTATTAAATATCATGCCAAATGTCAGTGTCTCTCTTATCCCAACCCCAGGAATCAGAGAAGACTCCCGTTCAGCCCAATTGTGAAAACTTGTTACCTCCAATTACTGACACATTTCCAAGGCCCCCAGATACTGTCTCCTACTGCGAAAACCAGGGCTCCCAGGGGCCACTGAAGTCCCCTCCCCAAAGGTTGCCATAGGTTCTTGTAGTACCTCTCAGGGACTCAGTCTACTCCTAATCATTGTGCCTGTGACCTTCACCATGGCCCAGATGCCATGGGCAGCACTTGTTTCTGATTTTCCCCTTAGGATACCACCCTTACAGTGCTGTGGGTCCAGATCCCATGGTAATTTGGGCCCACAATTGGATGATGCTGAGAATCTGAGCCTCTCACTTTTACCTCATCTGGTTCTCTATGCCTCTGACTCTGGATTCCACTGGGTGTTGTCTCTGACTGTCGATTTCACCGGACATTGCTACAGCCCCAGTGAGGTTCAGGGCTTCTCTTCAACAGCAACATGACCTTTACCCCAGGCCACCATCCACTGTTCATGCACAAATGGCACCTTTAGACCAACTGAGTCACTTAGCCACTTATGGCTTCAGAGATACTTTGTAACTGTATTGATGTTTATTAAGTTTGCTGTCTCGAATGTATATCTGCAAAGAAAATAAAACTCTTAGTACATGTTCCTAAAATTAGAATAAATAAAATAGATATATCAAAAAGAAAGTGATTTAGAAGAGCGATTGACATAAAAGAATGGGGAAACTATACCAAGCAAAGAACAAACATAAAAGTAGATCTTAATATATGGCAAACCTGTGTTGAGACCAGAGGTACATAGCATGGATCTTTACAATGCAGAATATGAAATTTCACAATGAAATTATAGCGGGCTTGACTATTCAAGGAAATTTGGCAAAGTAAAAATTATAGTACATAAAAGACAAGGGTAGAGAAAGGGATTAAAAATAGGAACATTTAAGTCACCAGTATGGTTTGGATATGTGTTCCTGCCCAAATCTCATGTGGAATTTTAATCTCTAATGTTGGAGGTGGGGCCTAGAGGGAGATGACTGCATCACGGGGGTGGTTTGTCATGAATGATTTAGCACTATCCCCACAGTGCTGCTCTTGTGATAGAGTTCTAGGAGGATCTGTTTGTTTAAAAGTGTGTACCACCTTCCCCTTCTCTCTTCCTCCTGCCCCAGCTATATATGATGTGCCTGCTTCCCCTTTCACCATAATTGTAAATTTCCTGAGACTTCCCCAGAAGCAGAAGCTCTCATGCTTCCTGTACAGCCTGCAGCACCATGTGCTAATTAAAACTCTTATCTTTATAATTTACCCAATCTCAGGGATTTTTTTTTCTCAAGGTAGTTTCCCTCTCGCCCAGGCTGGAGTGCAATGGTTCAATCTCAGCTCACTGTAACTTCTGCCTTCTGGGTCCAACCGATTCACCTGCTTCAGCCTCCTGAGTAGCTGGGATTACTTGAGATTACTGGCACCTGCCACCACACCCAGCTAGTTTTTGTATTTTTAGTGGAGATGGGGGGTTTCATCATGCTGGCCAGGCTGGTCTCGAACTCCTGACCTCAGGTGATCCACCTGCCTTGTCATCCCAAAGTGCTGGGATTACAGATATGAGGCCCTGCACCCGGATTTCAGGTATTTCTTTACAGCAATGTGTGAATTAAACAGTCACCCACCCAAAGCAGAAAAAAATGGAGAAATCTAAGGATTTGGAAAATTTAAACTATATTAACAATAAGGTAGTATTGACATACTAGATGATAAAAAATACTTCTCTCTTCAAGTGCCAAAAAAGCCAAATTTTCACAAAACAGTAAATATCTATTACATGGATAAACTCTGCAGCAAGAAAGCCTGATTTGTGACCTTGAAATCTACTTAACCTTACGACTCAGTTTCCTCAACATAAAATGACCTACCTCATGTGTTCAATTGACAGTTCTATGCACCTGCCTCATGTGTTCAATTGACAGTTCTATGAATTAATATATGCAATCTGTTAATATCGATGCTTGGGACACAAGCATTACTGAGGTGTATCTGGATTTAAAACTTGATAAAATATGTAAAATATATAAGATTCCTTTATAATAGTGGTGAGGAAAATCTGCAGCCTTAAGTATTTTCTCCATCACACACAAGAATGAATTAGCTGGATTTATTTTTAATGTACAAGTTAGGAAAAGATAAACTGAAAGTAGGTGGAAGGAATTGATGCACCTATATACAGGAATTCATGAGTTAGAATAACTGTAAAATAATATACTAAATCAACACAAAGCACCAATGATATGGATTTCTTGTTAGAAAAGTTAACTTATTAAACAAAATTTAAGACATAAATTTCTGTGTATGAAATACGGAAAGATGGCAGAAGATCTGCCTATTCAAAAATGACAAGAATTAGACAAATTCACAGAGCAATTGTATGACATCTTCATTCATAGTATACCTAGGCCTTTAAAATGAGAAAAAAACATGTTTTAAAATAAGTGCATCATTTATAGAAAATCCTTTCGGTTCAATGAGATACTCCTCTTTATCTATGTTATGATTTGACCTTAAATCCTGATATTAACATGCCATACCAATCTGCCATAATCAGTCCATCCTGGGTAGTAGAACTCAGGGTCTCTACAGTTGAAGCTGTGGTTGAAGACTGCCTGGCGTCTCTAAGCTACTAAAGTAGCTTAAAACTCAGTATTTTGCTTGTCACACATTTGTTTTCAAATATTCTGAAATATATAGGGCTTGACCACACCAGAAATTTAAAGATTTATATGAAAATACTGGGAAAAATCAGACCCCTGTTTGATGAAAACGGTAAACAATGGAATCCTGGACATCTGGGAACAATTTAGGACTTTCTGGAGCAGGAATGTCATAGAAGAGGGTGTCAACACACCTTACCTAGACTTTGGCATGGGGAAAACCATCTTTCCATGGCACACAGAGGACATGGACCTTAACAACATCAACTACCATCACTTCAGGGAGCCCCTATCTTGGCATGCAGTGTCCCCAAACCATAGTCAGCACCTGGAATGCCTGGCCAGGAAGCTGTTCCCAGGGTTATGAGGCCTTCCTGTGGCACAAGATGGCCCTCATCTTGCCCACAGTGCTCATGCAGAATGGAATTCCTTTCAAGCACATGACTCAGGAGGCTGGAGAGTTCATGGTGACATTTCCTTATGGCTACCACACAGGCTTCAGCTCCACAGACACCATCAATTTCACCACCCAGGATGGGTAGATGATGGCACTATGGCCTCTCAGTGTAGCTGTGGGGAGGGCAGGGAGGCCTTTTCCATGGGTGCCTTCATGCACATCATGAAACTGGATCATTGTGAGCTATCAAAGCTAGCAAGATGAGGCCACTGTGGCTCATAGGGAGCCCAGGGTGCTGGCCACCCAGGAGCTCATTTCCTGCTGGGAGGACATTGCACCTGGCCTGAGGCTCCTCTTTCTCATCCTGGACCTGACCACTTCTAGGCCTGTGGTCCTGCCTATATGTACCAGTTGCAGTTTCCCTGGTGCCCCTTGGCAGCCCAGGAGACTGATGCCTATCCCATGTTGACTGCCCCCAGAGGCTCCCAAGAACACATCATGGTCCACCATCTATCATGGGTCTGTTTACTTTGGTTCTCTGCCTGTCACCTGGCGGATGTGGTCATGGTTGTCTTCTTTAGGGATGAGGAGCTCCAAAGGGGATCCTCCAGTCTCCCACCAAGTGGTACAGCACACAGTGCTCTAGATCCCCAGGCTTAGCCCCTACTTGGGAGGGAGCTTTGATAGACAAGAATGTATCTCTCAGGCTCGCATCTCAGCATCCCATCAAGTCTTCCAGGAGCTGCAGTGTCCCCATCTTCAACCTTTGGAGACCTTGGATCTGATGCTTTGATGTGTGCTGCCCCATATCTGACATCTCCAGGCAGCAGGACACTGAATCACCCTGACTGTGTTCCACTGATTCCTCCCAACATCATTATGAGGCTGAGAAGATTGTTCAGTGATGCTGTTGGAGAGTGCATGGCCCCTTTAACCTGCCTGAGGTTGTAGCAATGGATCACTCTTACACCTCCAGGGTCTTGGCCCCAACAGTGGTTGTCAGAATATGCTGGGCCCCTGACTGATCTCCTGGAGCTAAAGCCAGACAGTGCTGCACCTCTGAATTTAGAGCTATAGGCCTTCTGATACATGATCTTAATCCTTTGAACCCATGGCTACTGAATATATTGCCAAATGTGGCTGTCCCTCTAACCATAACCTCCTAACCCTCAGATCCAAAGAAGGTGCCAGCCAAGCACAATTCAAGCCTGTGCCTGTCTCAGTCTCTTTAACCTTGAAGAACAGATACATAGCCAAGGAGGCCAAAGGCAGTCTCCTGTTTATTAAATTTATTGTTCCTGATATGTATCTGCCAAGCAAAGAAATGAATATCCTGAAAACATATTTTAAATTCACTACTATTACAGGGAAAACCTAAAACTAAGTGATTCAGAATGATTGAAAAACAAAAGAATGGGCAAAACTCTATCAAGGAAAATATAAGCAAAAGAAAAGAGGAGTGGTAGATCTTAGTATCAAAGAAATGCAGACCAAAGGGACATAGAAAAACTATGAAGCAAAAGGCTAAATTTCACATTGGAAGAAAAGGAGAAATAGGAACAGTTTCACACTGTTGGTGGGAGTATAAATTAGTTCAATTATTGTGGAAGACAGTGTGGTGATTCCTCAAGGAGTTAGAAATAGAAATTCCATTTGACTTACCAATCCCATTACCAGGTATATACCAAAGGATTACAAATCACTCTATGATAAAGGCACATGCAAATGTATGCTTACTGTGGCACTGCTCACAATATCAAACACTTGGAAGCAACCCATCTATTATTGATGGGCTGTGTGGAGCCCATCAGTGATAGACTGGATAAAGAAAATGTGGCACATACACACCATGGAATACTATGCAGCTTTAAAAAAGGATGAGTTCATGTCCTTTTCAGGGACATGGAGGAAGCTGCAAACCTGTTGGGAGCCCTCCCGTCTGAAAGCTTGCAGAGCAGGTTTCACAATATGGGAGGTTGAGCCCAGAAGCAGAGTCACCAGACAGAGGGAAGTCAAGATAAGGAAGTCAGGGACAAAAAAAAAGAGGAGAATCTAGCTAAAAGATAACTAGATGGGCGAAACCAGATGGTCATGCACTCATGAGGAACAATGTTTCTTGCTATGTAAACATATTTTTGAGCACCAAAGATATTATTATCTTCTATAGCTTCTTATTGCTTAGCTGTCAATTTATTGTATGGAACTTGTGATTTAGACGATCTTGAGAATGTATATATTCTGAGCCTTGGAAGAATAAAGTTGCTGTTGGAACACTATCTCTCTCAGCCCTCCTGACCCCAGCTGTCCTGTCTCCTTTTCTTCTTGCGCACTCCCAACTCGGGTTGGAAACCTCTTGCTGGACAAGAGTTCCCTCCAGAGAAACCATCATTATGAGCAAACTGACACAAGAACAGAAAGCTAAACTACATATTTCACTCATAAATGAGTGTTGAACAATGAGAACACATGTACACAGGGAGGGGAAGATCACACACTGGGGCCTGTTGGGGGTGCAGGATTAGGGATGGAATAGCAGGGGATGGGGGATCAGGGAGGGATAGTATTAGCTAATGTAGATGATGGGGGGATGGCACATGTATACCTATGTAACAAACCTGCACGTTCTGCACATGTACCCCAGAACTTAAAGTTTAATTTAAAAAAACACAAAATTTAAAAAAGAAAATAGTTCTTATTAGTAGCATGTAACTTTTTCTTTCATTTGTTACTTATCTTTGTTGGAATAGAATATACACATATTACCATTTTCATCTTTTTAAGTGTGTAGTTTAGTTTCTTTAAGGACACCATAGTCGTACTCTCAATATCCAGAACTTTTTTATCATCACAGACTAGGACTCCACCCATTAAATAGTAACAACTCATTATAGCCTGCCCAAGTGCTCATGTCCCTTGTTTCATTTCGCTAGTAATTTCGCTATTTTAGATACCTCATATAAGTGCAATGATAGAATATTTGTCCTTTTACCTCCAGTTATTTCACTTAGTATGACTTCCTCAGGGTTCATCTACATTGCAGCATGTGTCAGAATTTCCTTCCTTTTCAAGGCTGAATAATATTCCATCATATGTCTGCATCACATTTTGTTTAATCCAAACATCCATGGATGGACACTTGGGTT